AATTCTGGTGTCGATTCCCTTCATGTCTTCCATAGTCCAAGCGAATAAATGCACGTGATCTCGCAAAAGTTTGGTGAGTTCTGTTTTTATTTCTTCCAGGAGGTCGCCGCCAATGCTAACGACTCTTTCCGGATGTCGCTCGGCAAGGCTTACATGTATAACCCGTTCGGATTTTGGTCTTTTGTGAAAGGAGAGGTGTGGATCTAAGTCGTCGTTTACCATGCATGCAGTCTCCATCTTGATTTTCCTTTCGCTGAGCAGGCACATTCGTGCTGTTGATTGGTCGCCTTGTAGTGTGAACGTACCGGTCGCATTGGGAACTTAATGCATTGATGGTATGTCGAGACGATGGCCTTCATGGCGTGGATCCATGGAGTCCCAAGTATGATGTTGTAGATCGTCGGGCAGTCGATGACTGCGAATTTAGCCTTCTTGGTTATGCCGCCGATGTAAGTTATCAGATGTATTGAGCCGATGGTGTAGGAGGTGTTGCCTTCAAATCCTGTTAGCGGTTCTGCCGCTATTGTTATCTCGCCTTCATTGATGCTCATCCTCGCCAATGTGTCTCTGAAGATGATATTGACGGTACTTCCACTGTCAACCAAAGCTTTGGTGACTGTGCTTTCGTGAATTTGTTAGGTTACGACCAGTGGGTCGATGTGTGGCGTATGCGAACCGCATAGATCTTCTGCTGTGAAATCTACTGATGCTTCGCTTTCCGGGGTGACCGGATTGCGTTTTGCATCCACCGTTCTTTCTTTGGGATGTCTTCTTTTCTTTAACGAACTGGGGTCGTCAAATTCCCCTCTTAAGATCATGTAGGAATTGCTGGATGTTGTATGTTTTCCCGTGGGTGGCAGGATTGCGGCGGTAGCATCGTCATGCTCGTTGAGGGCAGGCGTCTCAGTATGCATGGTGATATCGCCGTTGTTGTGGATGAGGTCGCTGTTATCGATCGGGAGACTCATCGCTTCGGCTTTTAGTTGCTAGGTTTTTTAAGAATTCTATTCTCCTAGTCCCCACAGACGGCGCCAATTGTTGAACCGGAAAATTGTCACTAGGGTTTTGATTAACAGTTGTGGGTTTCGGAGAATAATGTCTTTTATTAATAGCAATAAGCGAAGCAATTACAAAGAATGGGATAACCGAGAGGTTATGCCGAAGTGAAATAAGATGTTTGCGAAGTAAACTAGAAAGCGTTGGAGTCTCTGGTTTTAGCTCTACTGCTCTCTAGATTGTATGAGTTGTCATTCTTGGCTTCGGGATCTTCTTATTTATAGAGATAGGAGGTCGGTTGTTTCGAACTCCTTTTCCTTTTTTCTTTTTGGTGAATATTTTTGTATTCGCGATATGGAAGTATCCCTTATTCTCCGAAGAATATGGAAATTCTCTTTTCTCTTTCGAATTGATCTGATGTTTCCGGACTTCGAAGGTTATCTTTAAGAGTTTTCCTTTAATCCGAGCTAGGTCGGCGCAGTCTTCCCAGTCTTGATGGACTTAGGTTACTGCTAAAGAAAGCTTTTTAGGAAATGTATTCATTTCCTCTCTAACATGTTTGCGACAGCTCCCATCTTGGTGTCAAAGTCTATTACGCAACATCATCCATACAATAAGGGAAGAATCCTTAAATTCAAGATTAATCAGACTGGAATCTATGTTCTATTTTTTATGTTACAGAGAGGTATTATTAGGGGAATGGAACTCGCTTAGATAAGACGAGTGATGAAAAAAAGAGCCATTACTTATGGAAGCCCAGAACGCTCATAAGCAATAAGGAATGACTATGGACATAGCTGCTCTCTATTTAGACAAGTGTAATTGGAATTTTTGTTCTTTTCGTTGTGATTTCTCGTCACAAAAAGGGTTGTGTTTGAATTTTCATTAGTACAGCGACAAAGTCTCCATCTAAGTGATAGGAACTGGGTAGAATTTTCATTAGCTCGGAAATAAGTGGTTTCAGATTAGAACAAATGAAGTTATTGGAACTGGGTAGAATTTTCACCACAAAAGCCATTGTTTGAGCTCTCTCCTATCCAATGTGGGACATGCATTCTTATCACAAAGCCGTTCATGAGGAAAGATGTGTGGTTTTTAGATTAGAACAATCAAAGTCATTCATATGCAAGCTAGTTGACTAGAGACTTTGTGTTGTCTACTTAAACATGTGTTGCAAGAGCCACAGTTAAAAAGAAAACTGTACGTGCAGACACAACTAAAAGAAAACAGTGAGAGAGCTGGAGTAAAAGCATGAATGACTAGTGAAATTATGTTTTATAAAACTAGCTGATTGATGTGTCAATAGGAGAAGAAAAGTTAGTATATTTTAATGTTGACTTGGAAAATATGATATGACAAATTTTCTAAAATGTATAAAATATTTTCATTGGTTGAGTTAAACAAAATTAAATAAATCCTATTTTTAAATAAGAAAAAAAGTATATCATATGTGAATGCATTCTCATTATATAGCAAAAATTCAAAATTATAAATAAAACAAAAGAAACAAAACGATAAAAAAAATAAATTATAAGTATCCTCATAGCAAACTTTTTTTTTATAATATTGTATATATGAATAAGAAATAGAAGTAAACGTAAAAGTTGGAGAGAAATCCACATATATTTTAGAAGAAAAAAATAGAAAAATACATTGGAGATGATCTTAATATTTAATATATTATTCAAAGTTAAGAAAACAAAAATGAGTCAAAGAAGATAATAAAAATAAAAAAGAATAATTTTAATCGATTTTATATTTTTATTTGAAATATTTTAAAATATTAGTTTACACATATTAATTCTTTCATGCATATATTTTTCCATAATATTAAAATATTATTTTATGAATCAAGTTTTGTATATATTGTGATCATTTATATTTTATATCAACGCATATATCAAAGTTAGGAACAAAAGAGTTCTTAAATTTTAGTAGAACAGTCAAATATTAAATATATTATTTTACATCTTAAATCATACATATATAAGTTTATGATCCGACTGGTTTAAACGCTGCAGTTACAGAAAATTTGTGGAAACCAGCGATTGTCGTCTATAAAAAAATTTGACGAAGAGATGAGCAGATAGTTACTATAGAATTTTATAAAATATGATTTCACAAATTTTATAATAAATATTTATTATAATTTTTTATTGAGAATTTATATATCATAAAATGCTGAAAAATAAACAAAAATTTAATTAAATACAAAACGATTGAAATAGTTTTCATGATTGTTGTTAAATGCCAAAAACTGCATCGTGTAAAAACATAATGTTTGCAGAAAATATCAGAAAAACTAATCAACACCTAAATATTACAATTCACTTATTTCTAACTCATATCTATATGAATAAATATATGTATTTAAAATAAAATAAAAATTCAACAATGCATTATAAAAATATATATTATAAAATATATACTTTGTTATTTTCTTTTAACAAATTAAAACCATACTTTGATTTTTTTTACAAATATACATGTAGATATAAATATTAATTATGCAAAAGTCAAAGTCGCATGCAAACTTGTCGTGCATACATTTTGTTACCTCCATTACAGTCCAATTTTAATTTTAGTTATTAGATAATTTCTATTTTCTAAAATCTCTATATGTTCTAAGAGCGGTGATGTGGTTGATACGCACAAATGTGTAGGCTAAATATCTACCCACATTTAGGATAAGTAAAGATAGTAAAACCTATTTTAGTTTAATTAAAAATAGGTCAAGAAAAAATGTATACTTAATATATATATATATATATATATATTGGCAAGATTATATTGTTTAAAGAGAAAAAGAAAGCATAGTACAGATAATATTCAAAACATATTATAATGATTTAATTATTATTTAATATAACTTTTACATTTGAAATTATATGTAACTGTAAACGCTAAAAAAAAATTAAAAAAAAAATAAAAGACAGAAATCGATATGAAACATTTGTGAGTTGTTGTTAAACACTAAAACTAGTTATGTATAAAAAAATAACGTTTACATAATGTATTAGAAAACTAATCACTACTTAAATATTAGAAATAATTATGTCTTTAAAAAAAAATCATATATGTACATGCGTGCAGGCCAACCATAAAAATTAAATAAATTATTTTATATTTTAATATTTTAGTTTATTTAGTTATCATATTTACATTTTTTTATCTAAGGAAGTATTTTTAAAATCTTGGTTAAAATTATTTTTATCTTCAATTTCTATTGAAATCTATTATTTTCATTTGATTTATCGTTATTTTTTATTATTAAATATTTCTATAATGTTATTATTAATACATAACTAATTATGTACAAATAAATCATATTCAAAATACAATATTAATCATATATTTAACATATAAAATATTTTATAGTCCGTACACGGTGCAGACAACAGAAAATTTTATAGTAAGATTTTAAAAATCATATTCATCTAGTAACATATGATTTGATAAGACATTTAGAAATCAATTATTAAATAACAGAAAATTTTAAAACAACCACAAAATCTTCAAAAATTCATAATCTAAGTTCAAAACCACATGTTCAATAACCACAGATATGTTTACTAAAAACTTAGATACAATGATACCAAAAAAGTTTTGGTCAACATATACTCCCTTTGTTTCTAAAAAAAAAGATTTTTTGGATTTTGTTTTTATTTTACAAAGATGTTTTAAGTTTTCTATGCATTTTTTCTTAGTCAATGATAGAAGAATTGTAAACTTCAAAATAATTAATAAAATTTACTGAATTTTATTGGTTTAAATTTAGAAAAATTATTAATCACAAAAAATAATACATTTATGTCAAGTTTTAATATATTTCTTAATATGTGTAAAAATTCCGAAACATTTTTCTTTAAAGAACAGAGAATATATTGGTATATTTTTATACAAATACTTATGGTAATAATATCAAAAATAGAGTCAAAGGAATTTGATTAAGATCTGTTTTGTTGACATATATATTTTAAGCATTTAATATAAACATTTTATCATGTTTATCTCCATAGAACTTGAGAAATCACAGTAACCTTTAACAATTCATTTTATAAGAAAAAGATGGGCAAGCGAGCAGCTTCCTTTTGTCTCCTCTCATCATGTGTCGTCGTCTTGTGCTTGAGTTCAGTCTCAGCAGTCACAGATGATTGTCAACATAAACAAGTATGTTAATCAATATATATATTTTGGGGGGTTTATATCTATGCATTGATGAGCAATCATACATGATGATGATATATAATCCATGAAGGTGTATGTTGTCTACATGGGTTCACTTCCGTCTCGGCTGGAATACACACCAATGTCGCATCACATGAGTATTCTTCAAGAGGTCACTGGAGAAAGGTGCGATTTTTATTTATCCATTCTCTAATCATAGATATGAGGATTCTTACAAGTATTACGTACATATGTATACACTCTAGTTCGATCGAAGGTCGGTTGGTGAGAAGTTACAAGAGGAGTTTCAACGGGTTCGCGGCCCGACTCACTCATTCAGAACGAGAAAGAATAGCAAGTGAGTGTTCTTACACAATTCTATTGACATGGTTTTAAAGGTTATATATATAACTAATCAAAACCATATTATGTTTTTGTTAGAAATGGAAGGAGTTGTTTCTGTGTTCCTGAGCAAGAAGTTACAAATCCATACGACTCTGTCTTGGGATTTCATGGGGTTAAGGGAAGGGAAGAAGACAAAGCGAAACTTGGCTGTAGAAAGTGATACTATCATCGGCGTCCTCGACACTGGACTTTGGCAGGAATCGGAGAGCTTCTCCGACAAAGGTTTTGGTCCTCCTCCAAAGAAATGGCAAGGTGTTTGTTCCGGCGGTAAAAACTTCACTTGCAACAAGTAATATTTCACTTCTCTTGAAGATTAGTATATCGTTTTGGAAAGATATTGATGTGTTTTACAATGTATCAGCAAGTTGATCGGAGCTAGAGATTACACAATGGAAGGCACTAGGGACACCCAAGGCCACGGTACACACACAGCTTCCACTGCGGCTGGAAACGCAGTCGCGAACACAAGCTTCTTTGGAATCGGCAAAGGAGCAGCAAGAGGCGGCGTTCCAGCCTCTAGAATCGCTGCTTACAAAGTCTGCGCCAAGGACGGATGTACCTCGGAAGCTATACTGTCTGCGTTCGATGACGCGATAGCAGACGGTGTTGACCTCATCAGCATCTCCATCGGGGGAGACGAAGGGGCCTCCAGGTACGAAGATGACACCCTTTCAATCGGGGCTTTCCACGCTATGACCAAAAGGATTCTCACTGTTCAATCGGCTGGTAACGATGGTCCGGATCCGGCCACAGTCGCGAGTGTAGCACCATGGATTTTAACCGTTGCAGCCAGCACCACGAACCGTGCGTTCGTCACCAAAGTTGTTCTCAGAAACGGAAGCACTCTTGTCGTAAGTACCAAGTAACACTCTCATTCCTATCATAACTGTATCTTATGTCCCCTTTTGTTTTTGTCCTTAACAGGGGAAATCTGTGAACTCTTTTGATCTGAAAGGAAAGAATTACCCACTTATGTATGGAGATTCTGTCGGAGAAAAGAGTAAGGGAAATATCTTGGTGAGCGGATATTCAGTTGGTTCAGAAAAAGCTGTTGCAACCATATTTAGAGACTATAAAGGCTATGCATCCGTTTGCTCTAGGCCCCTCTCTGCTCTATTGTAAAAACTCAAGTTCGATCTATGAAAGAACTAGGGTTTGTGGGTTTAAAGAGAAGTCTTTTATTAGAAGAAGTCGGTGCTTGAATGAATACACGGGGATTTAGATCGTCGGAATAAGAACGCCGACCTAAACTTTTATGGAAAGTAAATCGAAAGGGCTAGAACAATCTGATTGCTTAGTTTGCTCTAGATTAATGATTTTCGGATGGATTGAGAAGTCGAGGACTTCCTATATTTATACCCGATCAGGTCGGTCTTCATCCTGTTCGGAATAGGAAACTCTTGTCGGCAAGGAGTTTCCTTTTTCTCCGGGTCGCTTGATAAATGGAAGCTTTCCTTTTATGTTGCCGACCTGGGAATTGTTAGATAGGCCGACTAGAATTCATATCGGGCTTGTTAGAGACGGTACGAATCTCATCTCTAACAGTAAGTCCCCCCCCAGTTCGGCAAGTGAGGATACGTCACTTGGTGAATTTCAAGGTGTTGCTCGATATGAATTCAGATCGGACCATTCTAAAAGTTAGAAAAAAATGAGGCATCATTTCTCTAAGCTTTTTCAGGTCAACCATTTGATGGCGTCTAGTTTTCAAGATTGGCTCGTATAGAGAAGTTTACCGAGCTGAAGTGAAGTATAACGAGCTAAAGAACTCGGCTTGGTATATGAGACTATGCTCGGCTCATTCTATGATATGATTGCGAGGTGTGCTCGGCTTTTGTAGAGTCGAATACGAACGTGCGATGCGATATCGGCTTTAAATTGTTCGTATGACTTAATATTTCTAAGTCTGAATGTAAACCAGCAAGTTGAGGTCGGCTTTGTTTGTTTACATGACTTAGAAATTTTCCAAAGTCGAATGCAAGGTGCGATCAGGTCGGCTTAATAGTTTTGCATGACTTAGAAAATGCAGAGCGGGTTCTGGCTTTTTTTTAAAATGTGTGAATACAAACGTGCGAGAAGCTTGGCTTACATTTGTTTGTACCACTTAATTTCTAAGTGTGAATACTAATATGCGAATCAGGTCGGCGTTTTTCTATTAGTACCACTTAGAAATATCCGACTCGAATACGGGAGCAAGACTGGCTTGGCTTATGACCATCGTATGACTCAGACCATGCGAAACAGGTCGGCTTAGTAACAGGTTAAACTGTATTATGCAAGATAGACTTGGCTTTTAAGTTATCGAGCTAAAGTGGATCAGGCTTTAGCTTTAGGCGAATCGAGCATCTGGCCAGGATGTCGATGTGTAATCAGCTCAGGAGCATGGTAAGGAGATGAATAAGTATCTCGGGAGCAATTTAGCTTGGGAATTAATTGAAGAAGAGAGTAGGTAAAAATCTTTTGAGATGTAATAACTTAAGTAGCTCGGGAGCTTGACTTAAGGAAGATGAACATGTAAAAATATTTTCAAGATGTAATAACGTACCCGATCTTGAAGATTTGAGAGCTTCGTGTTAGACAATGGAGTTGTCCGACGAAGACACTAGCGATGTCCGGCTTTGGGTCTTTGTTGCTTTGTTTCGGTCGTTTCTTCTTTGTTTCGCAGTTCGGAAAAGAAGACGAGTTGTATGGTAGGTCGAGAAGACGAGTAGTTACCTAAACGTAGTTTGGGAGCTTGCTAATATGTCACTTGAAACAGAACGGTGTTTCAGTCTCATGCAAGACGAGCTGTGATATAGCTCAGTGTAGAGAGAAGCTGTGATGAAGCTTGGTGAAGAAACACAAGCTCGAGTTATTGAGTAAGATTTGAGGTCGGCGCTATTTGCAGCCGTGTGAGATTTGAGATCGGTCCTTTTTGCGACCAAGTGTGAGGAGATTTTAAGTCCGCCCTTTTTGCGACCAAGTGTGAGGTCGGCTTTTAATGAACTCGTTTTTCCTGTACTAGATGCGAGACTTGTAGCTCGGCTTTCAATGGTGAGATCAGGATTTGAACGTGCAAGGTTTACAATGCTCGCACGGTGGAGGCTTACAATGCTGGGCTTATTTTATTGGTGGTTTAGGAGCCCGTGAATGAGCTCGAATGCCGAGCTCATCGAAATTTGATGATGCAATCAGAACGTAAGGCATCAACGAGTCTGAAGAACTCATGGAAAGTACGAGATCTGAGTAGACACGAGCTTGCATGCAAGATTTGATTAGGCGACAAGCTGATAAACAGATGAGCCCTCGATCTGATATACGAATTGGTATGGCGAAGTGATGAGCTCGGGACTGATGAAAGACGGGCTCCATGTGTCGAATGTGAAGGAGCAAAAAGGGGAGCTTGCTAACGGAGTTCGTCGACGACTCGAACGACGCCTGATGTAGACCCGATCTGATTGTGAAAGTAAGACCCCGATCTGATTTAAGAAAATGGGCTGAAGCGACGGGCTGAGCATTTGAGGTAGAGAAAACGAGCTGATGAACAGCGTTTGAAAAATCTTTTGCAAGCTGACAAGTAATTTTCAAGGTCGGGATGACTTTGGATAGACAAAGAGAATGGGACAGAATTCAAACGTTTTGCTCTTCTGCCAGAGTTCCTTCCATCACAGATTCGTCATCTTTTTTTTTCTTTTGGCAGAGCTTGAGAGCTTATGGAGAGGTCGTAATTTTTGTTTTTGTTATTTTATGTCTTGAGAGAAGCTGTACCTCCAAATGATATCATGACATAGCAACATTTCTTCACGAGTTTGGTTTTCTTGTCTTAAACTGAAATAGGAACTTATAGAGCTTTTTTGGCTTGTAGGTCATCTTGAGCCGAGCATATCTTGAGATTTTGTTTGAGGGTGGGAGCAAGATGTAACTGATAAAGCTGAGAAGCTAGAAGTCATGGAAAAGTGAGAGATCAGAATCTCTGATATGGCCCAGAGCCATTAATAAAATTTGGCGAAGTAGAAGACATGACGAGCTGGGTAAGATGAGTTAACAAAGCGATGTGGTATGAGGTCAATGACGAGCTGACAGAGACGTGTTAGATTGACGAGCTCGTTTGCTAAACAGCAAGACTTTGACATGTCTTTGCTTTATACTGCACTAAATAGCTTCATGAAGGCATGGATAAATAACAATTTAACCGTTATTTTTTTAATCCCACCGTTGATTATGGAGTCTGATATGCCACCGTGTAGAAGATCAAATATCAGCTTGATCGGAAGTAATTTGAGCTTCTCACGTTCTTCTGAAGATGATGCGTTGAGAGTGGTTTTCCAAAAATATCAGGTTTTGTTTTTTTTTGCCAACTTGTGAAGCGATTTAATGAAGAAGTAAAACTCTGATTGAAGCACCGTAAAGTCCTGTAGATTCTATGAAGAAAGAGCTTTCCAAAGACACCTTATATGCGATCTGAATCTTTCTGGTCGTCCTGGAATTTACCTCGTAAAACCTTAACCCGTACTGTTTATGTTTTGGTTTCAGGTTGCAGGTTTCAGTGATTTCTTGCCCGAGAAGGAAAGTCTCAAAATGGGTTCTGCCATATTTAGGGTCCCTACCTGCTTTTTTTTTAGACTCCTGAGAGGATGGTGGATATGTCGGGACCTTATTTGCACCCAAGGAGTGATTCCTCGGTTGTTGATGTGCAACCAAAATAGCTTCTTCTAAGTTATCTTTCTTTCTTCTTTGATTAGAATTTTGCTAAATACCTTAGTAGTAGCGCACATGAATTTAAACCACATCAAAATTTCTGAATATGATGAGTTGAGAGATTGAGCGTGAGTTAGCTTGGTGGTACTAGCCCCCTCCTTTTTTTTTTATTAGCTCGGCATAACTCATTTTTAGAATTTTCTGTTGTGGCATAGAAAACGATCTGATGGAGATGAGCTCGTAAAGAATTGATGACTGCCTTTAGATGCTACTTCAGCTTGAAACTTTAGGTATTATCTAATGATGTCATGAGACAGTGATGTCTGATAATCTCGTCACACTTCTTTTGCTGTGAACGTTGGATGACGGAGGCAACTCGACAGCTCTCAAATTAACAGTAACTCATTGCCCTTGTGATTCGTATGCCGTAAACCATGCTTTAGAGAAGGAGCATGAGTTCGTATGTTGGGTTCGTCATATGACGTTTTAATCACGTCGGAATCTTTGATGAGCCGAGCTAACTTTTAGAAGAGCTTCCACTTTGAGCCGTGTGGCTTTTTTATAATTAGAATTTTGTTCAGTTTTTTTTTTGGCAGAGCTGCCGAGCTGCATAGCTGCGAGGGTGACGATCTGAATTGGCCAGAGGGCTGACAAACTGATTTGCAGAGCTGATAATCAGGGAGAGAGCCATGAGCTGTACAGCTGCGAGGGTGACGATCTGTACAGCTGCGACTGGGCGACAAGCTGCGAGGGAGACGAGCTGCGAGGAAGACGAGCTGCGAGGGAGACGAGCTGCGAGGGAGACGAGCTGCGAGGGAGACGAGCTTCACGGGTGACGAGCTGATTAGGTCAGTCTTCTGAGATCGCCTTCTTTTTCTTTGATTAGGAATTTTCTGAATCCTCAACATCAAATCATGCAGCAGCAAAAATCGTGTTAATACTTGTGGTTAGCAAAGAAGTGTAACTGTAATTGATAATAAAGTTCAAAGAGGAATCTAATACAACTCAACAAACGATTGACATAGAATATCAGATCGGATTATTAAAAACTTATCTTGACGAGTGGTTGCTCTTTGGATGATGGTTTTGTATCTCATGTCGTCAAATCTCGTGTGGTGGAAGCCATTGATAGGAACGCTCCAAGCGGAGACTCGTATGGTGAGCTCCGTATTCCCTTTTTTTTTTGCGTTGGGTTTTTTGTCAGGGACTGAGATGTTCAGCTCGGTGAAGAAATATAGCTTGGGGCGTATAACAGAAGTCTGACTTAAAAGTCCTCATCTTTAAATGTCCCAACCTGAGTAAAGAGCGAATGGAAGGACGACCTGGAAGGATATGAAAGACATGGTCTAAGAAGACGACCTGGTCTTTTTGTTCATCGTCGAGCTATGAGATTTTATTTTTTAGTTTAACCGGTGGTGTTTATCGACCATCTTTGAGCCCAGCTTCTTTTAAAGATTTAGTCTCTTTCTCCTCACAGACGGTGCCAACTGTAAAAACTCAAGTTCGATCTACGAAAGAACTAGGGTTTGTGGGTTTAAAGAGAAGTCTTTTATTAGAAGAAGCCGGTGCTTGAATGAATACACGGGAGTTTAGGTCGTCGGAATAAGAACGCCGACCTAAACTTTTATGGAAAGTAAATCGAAAGGGCTAGAACAATCTGATTGCTTAGTTTGCTCTAGATTAATGATTTTCGGATGGATTGAGAAGTCGAGGACTTCCTATATTTATACCCGATCAGGTCGGTCTTCATCCTGTTCGGAATAGGAAACTCTTGTCGGCAAAGAGTTTCCTTTTTCTCCGGGTCGCTTGATAAATGGAAGCTTTCCTTTTATGTTGCCGACCTGGGAATTGTTAGATGGGCCGACTAGAATTCATATCGGGCTTGTTAGAGACGGTACAAATCTCATCTCTAACATCTATCAAATGATGACTATGACTCTCTCGTCTCTTACGTTAAGTCCACAAAGTAACAAACAATCTTCTCTGTCTCTCTCTAATACTTTTTACATTTGCTCTGGATTCTCCTTATTTGTCCTAATATCTCTGTGTTTTGTTTTCTTAGGTCCCCGCAAGGCACTGTTCTAAAATCTGAGGCAATCTTTAATCAGAAAGCTCCTACAGTTGGTTCTTTCTCTTTTCGCGGTCCAAACACCGTTGCTGTTGATCTTCTAAAGGTAACATATAAATATATTTTGATATTTGTTCTGTTGTGCTTACCGGTGTGATTGTGTGAAAGACAAAGATTTATTGGTATGCAGCCCGATATAACAGCACCGGGAGTAGAGATCCTCGCTGCCTATTCACCTGATGGTCAACCGTCTCTAGGTGACACTAGACATGTGAAGTATTCTGTTCTATCTGGAACTTCAATGTCTTGTCCACACGTTGCTGGCGTGGCTGCGTACATCAAGACTTTTCATCCTGATTGGTCTCCTTCCATGATCCAATCTGCCATCATGACAACCGGTAAACAAAAATCATATCCAGCTTTTACTTTCTTGTCGTTCAAGTAACCTCTGTCGAAAACTCTGTTCTTATACAGTCTTTTTAACGAATTTTTACAGCTTGGCCAATGAATGCTACTGGAACTGGCTATGCATCAACCGATTTTTCCTATGGAGCTGGACATGTTCACCCAATAGCCGCTCTAAATCCTGGACTTGTCTATGAACTGGACAAAGCAGATCACATTGCCTTTCTCTGCGGCCTGAACTACACTTCGAAAACTCTTAAACTCATTTCTGGTGAAGCAGTGACTTGTAATGGAACAAACTTACCAAGAAACCTCAACTATCCTTCAATGTCGGCTAAAATCCTGGTGTCTGCTAGCTCCTTCACCGTGACTTTCAACAGAACCGTCACTAACCTCGGTACCCCCAACTCTACATACAAATCAAAGATTGTCTTAAATCACGGATCTAAGCTCAACGTCAAGGTCTCGCCTAGTGTTCTATCTATGAGATCACTGAAAGAAAAACAGTCTTTTACGGTGATTGTTACAGGCGTTCTAGACTCTGAACTGCCTTCGTCTGCAAATCTAATCTGGTCTGATGGAACACATAACGTCAGAAGTCCCATTGTTGTCTATGCTTACGGGAACTGATGAGGCACTATCACTTATCAGTTCACCATAGTCACCAATCATCATAGAATCAATCTTTTTGTTTCGTATCATCTATTGCAGAATCACCGCTTCCAAATCTTTCGCATCAAATCCTGAATCATATGTGCTGTCTTTTCTCATTGGACCAACGATGTCTTGACAATATACCAAAAAACAAAATCAGTTCACAATAGATGTGACAAATTTAAGCTTAAATATGTTTCCTAAAAATGAAATACAACGTTACCAAAAAAAAAAAAAAAGATTTGGTCAACATACTAAGCTTCTATAATAATACATTAACTAGGATATAGCCCGCTCTACGTGCGGAGGATAATGTTTTGAAATTTATTAAATTTAATTTTTATTTAAAGTTTAGTTTTTTTTCTTCTATATTATTAATATATTGGTTGAATATGTTTGTTGTATAATTAAATTGTTTGTTGAAATGAGAATGTTGTATTAATTGTGAATGGTATTTAGCTTTCGCTTGTCCGTGATATTTGTTTTAAGTTAGTAGTTTTGTATTTATAATTATTGTATCGTTTGTCGATTATATTTTGTTATAATTGAGAATTTGATTTAAAATTGGGTAGATTTATAATTTGTAAGAAAAAACAAATATTGATAAATGATTATATAAAATAAAATATAAAATTCAAATTATTGTTAGTTATTGTTAGAAAATAAGAAGTTATGTAAGAAATTTAAAAAATTCAACAAATATTGTTGATGGATGTAAACGATTTGTATAATGCATCTATGCAACCCAAAAATCCGATATATTTTAGTTATACGTTTATGAATAGAGATTAAGTATTTTTTTTATAAAGATTTTATCTCGTCAAAATAATCTCATTACATAACTTCTGTCTCAAATTTTGATTTCATATAGAAATAAATTCTTCTATGAAATGTTTATTTTGCTATAGATGTATTGTATTTCTATTGATAATATAGAAACCATTAAGTTTTATTTTTGGCATACATTTATTACATACATTAATAAATTTCAACATACAATGAAGTTGCGTTAGTATTTTCTAATTTGTTTTCATTTATATACTATTGATTCAACCCGAAAATATTTGCTATATTTGAGTTAATTAGGTCAATGAACATAATTATTTTTTATCAAAAATTTCATCTCATCAGATTTATCCCTTTATTTTCTATTTCTGATCTCGAATTTTGATTTCATATAGAAAAACATTTATATATAAGATTTACTATATTTTTTGTTTTGTATAATGTATTCATATAACCCATAGATACAGCTACATATGAGTTAATTAGGTTTATGAATATAGTTCTAATTTTTTTAAATCAAAATTTCATCTCGTCAATATCTTCCCATTACATTCTATTCTGATCCTCAGTTTTTTGATTTGCAAGACAAATATAATTTTTGTATGTGATGTATTATTTTGTTATATATTTATTATATTTTTTATTTATAATATAAAACCCCATTATATTTTACTTTGGTATACATGTATTGTATACTGTACTAAATTTTAAACTTATTTGTTTTGATTTTTATATTTTAAACCCATTAAATATAACTAATTAAAATTTATAACATATTGTTTTTAAATTTTAAGAAAATTTAAAAGTATTCTATAACTATAAAAGATAGATATAAATAATTTGTATAATCTATCTATACAACCCGGAAAAATGCACATGAGTGCAGATTTCATATTTTATGTAAATTAGATTTTCAGTATATAAAAGATAGATGGAAATAATTTGTATAATATATCTATACAATCCGGAAAAGTGCACATGAGTGCAAGTTTCATGTTTCCTTTAAATTTGATTTTCAGAGATTTTATAAATTTTCATATACTATACGTTATCTTTAATTAAGATGATGTTATATATGATTTAGTCCACTGTACGCAGAGTTATGTATTTTTAAAATACTTTTAGGATTGTGTGAATTTATATGTTTTTTTTTAATTTATATTTAGTTGAAGGTTTAGCTTTTTTAAATTTTTTATGGTAAAGTATGTTTGTTGTATAATTTAATTGATTGTTGGAATTAAAAAGTTATATTATAAAAGTTTGATTGATTTATAAATCAAACAATACTTTCAAGTTTTAAAAGAAAATAGATTATTGGTTAATTATATTATTTGTATAATATATCAATATCTAACACTGAAATGAAAATATATTTGATAAACTCTTTTTAAGTAGAATAATTAGTTTTATTAAAAAATTATTTAAAATTTTCCTCTTAGATTTTTTAAAGATGTTTTTAATTATTTTGACTACTAACAAACAATATTAATTCAAAACATTTATGTTAAGACTTTGTTTAAAATAACAATAAAATAGATAAATGAAAATCTAGGATATACCATGCGATATTTATTTAAAAATGTAAAAATCAGATGTATGAAATTTTTAATTTCAATATTTTAATTTTTAATTTGATTTGATTAATTTATTTTTAATTTGGAATATAATATATACTTGTAAGATTGAAAAAGCTAAATATTGTAGATGTAGTAGACACATTGTTACTGATATAACTGAATTTGAAATTGTAATTTTGTTTGATTTTGATTGCATTTAAATATTTTTTTATTTAATTAATTAAAATCAATAAAATATGCGATAGTATGTTGCTTGATTTTTTTGAATAATTAATTTATTATTTAAATTTGTTTTGTATTTTTAAATCTTTTGTGTGATTAAATTATATGTTGGTACAGGTAGTATTGTTTTGTTTTTATTTTGATTGTACAAAACGTTTTACTGGTTCTAGATTACTTCGTTACCATGGTTATATATATCATTAATATATCTCGCACATTTGACCAAGATTATAACTAATAACTAAAAAGGTAAAAATCAAAACGAACCCAACTAAAAATACCCAACTATTTATGAAACCCAAATAATTATTGGTCTAATCGAAATGAAGTAAACCAAATTCCAGGATTTATTGTTTCCGGTTTAGGAGAGAATTAGAATCGCAAACCAGATCCCGATAACCATCTCTCTATCTTCTCCATACACACCTTCAACCTCTCGCGCAAAAACGCTAGAACCACCCTCTCTCCCGTGACCTCCACATGTCCAACACCCTCGACTAAACCCCCTCCGCCGACTCGACTAAATCAATCACAACACTTGCGATTCTAGCCGGAATCATAACCAAGTACCTAGTTAAGAAATTTTTTGCCGTTATTGTAAACCCAACCCCACAGATCCAAAGTTCTCTCAGAATCTCCGGTCCGATGTTCTTCGCGTTGAACTGTGACTGTCCCAATTCGTTATCTGAACACGCCGTTGACAGTGCAGCGACAAGGCTATCGAAATGGCTCGATATCTACAGTGTCTTCGATTCTGAACAATAGCAGAGGAGGGTATCTGAAGAATTTTTAGGTAATACTTTGAGTGATGTTTATGGATCTTAACAGGTTCTGATCTTTAGTACTTTATACTCTTTATAATTAAAACATTTGGAAGTATAATGTCGACGTTCTATTGCAGTTAGTGTTTACAACAACTCCTGAAATTGGTTTTAAAGTGAAAGCTTCAAAGATTTCTAGATTATGGCAATGCACGAACTTGGTTACAGAAATTGGAGCTTGGTTGTGCTGCGAATATATCAATATACGAAAGCTAAAAAAATTAACAACATAAAAGATGATTATGTGAATCCTATTGGTCCATACCTCAGGTAACAGTTGGCTTTTGATTGTCTCTTGAAAAGTTTTTCAAAAAAGTCAACCTATTACACCTTTGGCAAAAGTAACTGACTTAATCCCCTGAATCTGCTCTTTGGAAATGTCTCCTAAAATATATTTTTGTAACACTCTTGCTTGGTAGGAATCAAATTATAAAATTCCTATATGTGAGACAAAGGACATGCTCTTGTCGTTTGCTATCCACCTGAAACTAATGATTGAACTAAATTTGTAACCCTCTCTGCAAATTGAGTGAATTTGATATTTTTTCATGACCTTTTCACGAACTCGTTGCTTCAGCAGCTCGAGATTGATGTTTAAGTAGTAAACTTTAAGTTAGATTCTTTAGGTTCTGGTTTAGTTCATAACAGGATCCCCATGGCAAATGATTTGATTTTAACTCTGCTGCCTGCTAATAATATATCTTCGAATCTTGTTATATCACCTTGGATACTTGCTCTTTTGGATCGTTGGCAGATTTAGGACGCATCAGTATTCCAGTTTTTCTGATTGTTGTTGTGTAAAAATTAAAAAATTGTTTCCTTTGATCTCTGATTGCTTCTATGTCTCTTTCAAACAGATTTGTCTCCCAATGCACCAGGAAATGGTTTATCTTCTCTTCTAGTGAACTGAAGGTTGGTGTTTTACATCACTTGTCCATCATTGAAGTTGTACTTTTAACTTTTGATATCAATTCTAGTGAACTGAATGAATTTAATTAACAACAGACATATTTCCTAATCTCTTTACAGTGATAGCATTAAGAAACATCAAACATGTATTGAATCTGCTTAAGAATAAGTAGAAAAAGAAATATCGTCTTTTACCTCTTATCTCTCTTGCCTTGTTTTAATGCATTTTTTTTACTTGTTCAAGGTTCAAAATTCTGTGAGAGTAAGTGTAACCTAGGTAAAATGTTATGACAATGTTAGAATAGCAAAAAAACATAAACTGTTGATACCTACACCAGAAACGATTGGCTAAGGGTTTAATCATTCTTTTTGTCATCAAAACAAAATCAATCATTAAAACATATTAAAGTTGATCAGAAACTCTATTTCACGTTTTTTCTCAAACTTTTAAGCTATGTTCTTGAAAACTTGTAATGGCTAAAAGACTTACATCAACAAATTTTCCACTGAAGCATGAACAACTCATTTGAGTAACGCCAGCAATAACCAGAAAGCATCTTCTTGATCATGTAAATATTAAAATTCCAACTATAAAACATACACCCTGCCATTAATTAAATCACGAACTTTAGTACCACAATAAAAAAATTTATATTTTCTTAATTACTTGACATTGTAATAAAAATATAACCTCGGTAGAAATAGAACTTTTTGGAAACGATCTATAGTAATCTTCAACTTTGTAGTCCTTGATTGTAGCAGAACTTAAAAAACAGAAAAGTCTTTCAAA